TCCCGAAGGAGAGCCGAACTCTGCCGTGCCCGGGGAGCCGGGAGCCGGCGGACGGACGGGGCCGAGGCTGTGAGCAAGGCGAGGCCCGGCTGTGTGGCTGCGCGGGCTCGGGCGCCATCTGGTGCCCGCCGTGAGGGAGGTGTCGCCTGCCGGCTGCATTCCCATGCGCCGGGAATCGTTCTGCACCCTTAGCAAACTGAGTGCGGTACTGCAAAACTGTTCTGGAATTCTGCTGGGCATTAGCAGCAGTTCACACGCTCCTTCTCTTTATGTTTACACCGCTGATGTATCGGCAAACATGCCTGAGGAGTCTGCAAATAAAAGCACAGTAAGCTCTACACAGTAGGGTCAAGATAGTCTATCACAGATTAGCTTTTCCATACATTGTATGATAAGCACTGGATTTACAGCATCAATCCTTGCACAGTACAGCCCCTAGAATAAAGCACTGGTAGGGATTGTCTAAATCCTCACACCAGGGCCCTTACACTGCAAGCAATTACTATAAATATGTTCAATGCAGAAAACCCCACAGCGCACAGGCAACCCCTGCCCCACCCAACAAACAAACAAACACCACATATAAACAACAAAAACCCCCCACAACACTATCTAGGCAAGTCTTGTACTAAAATCCATAGATCTGGCATTGGGCTGTGGCACATGCCAGATAAAGTGATGGACTTCAGACTTCCTGTTGCTTACATCCATCGAGATGATCCCCGCTGGCCTGAAAAGGGAAATAAACCAAGACAGTAAAGGAAGAGCTCTCAGTAATCATTGCTAATTACTAGCTAAAGTAGAACAGCTTCAGGTTGAGAAGATGAAACACAATTATCCCTAAAAAAAGGTCAATACAGTCATCTGAGGTGGGATTTGCATCCAAACCCAAATAACAGAGTGGGTAAGGTAGGCTGCGAGCCAGACTTGAACGCCTGTTTTACAGTAAGTTTATGGGCTGATAGACAAGATGCCTCCTGTTTGCAATCACACAGATTTCTGTATACAGAGGCACCAAGGTTCTGGGCCCGTAGCAAAACTCCTGAAATGAACGTATTGGATTAGCTAGAGACATTCTGCCCCTCACCAGCCCAATTTGCAGCTGCTTTTAAGGTCTCTTGTCTCCCTCCACTGCCTTGCACAACCGACCTGGCAGGCTCAGGATCCCACTAGATGGCAGGACAGTGTAAGCCTTTGCCATTTCTAGTTCAGAGCAAGTGCCCTGGGAGCCCAGTTGGCTCAGCCCCACTGGTCTGTGCTGTTTGGACTTGGGGAAACTCACACTCACCTCCATCTGGGGTTTATGCTCACTGAAAACTCATAGAGAAATCCTTGGAGAAGACTTTGTTAAATTCTGTTTCATGGGTTTTATCATACACAGAGCACTAGCAGACAGAAGAGAGGAATATGAACTAATACTAATTTGCTAGGTCTTGAAGTATTCCTCTTTATGTGTGTGATATATAAAGGATATTTAGCCTACTAATGGTAGTAGGTAAAGTGCAATTTAAGCCTCTTATAGCCACTGCTCTCTTGTAATTTTTAAGTAAGCAAGTGCAGTTATAATTTCTTAATGACATCCGGAAAACATGAAGGCAAACTTTCTCTATGTTTAAAATACCTATATTTTTTAATATATGCACAATAAAATTACAAAGGTACTTCCTGCTTTTTTTTTTTTTTTTTTAGCATGCTGAGTGGATAAGAATGGATAATTGCTTCATTATATTCTAAAATATGAAGACGACAAAGTTGCCTTTTTTGCTTGGTATTAACATGAAATTCTTTGCTTTGCAAAAGCCCAGGATAGTGCTGTAAGATGATGAAAAAGATGCTATTACCTGTACCAAACTTGCTGGAATGGAAATTGGGATTAATGCATTATAATACCAGATTAGCCCTAATAGAAGTTTGCTGCTGTCATTTATTAAGGTAACTAAGTACCTAATATTAGGCACCTAAATTGACTCCTGTGAAACCCTTCTGCATTTAAAGTTAAGCATGTTTTAAAATACCCTGCTGATTCAGGGCCATTATGTTGTGGCCATGTTAACCAAGAGAATGCACTGTTATCAATTATCCATTAGTTGCACTAAGGGAGGGTAGTATACAGCCTGGATAATGGTTGAAACTGGATAAACTGGCTCAGTGACAAACATATTCAGAAGTACTTCATTTGCTCTTTACGGACTCAGCCGAAGTTTAGCAGGACTATTATCTGTCTTCAGCACACTAACATGAAAATGAACCGAAGCATCCCCAACTTCAGCTGTGCTTAAGACAGTAACTCTGCCCAAGCCCCAGAGTACTGGACAGCATGGCATAAAGCCCCCCAGACAGGCTTCAAGGGGTGAGTTCCTTTCCACCTGAGCCAAGAATCATGCACAACTAATAAACTCTGATCCAAAGACCAAAGTTTATACAGTACAATGTCTCCCACATAAGTCAGTTTGTGAGTCAGTTTATACTGGTCAGAAATATGCATTTGGCTCACAACTGGAGAAACTGGGTAAAATCCAGGCATAACTAAATATTACTAAGTATTACTGCTGCTACAACTAACTAAAAAAGAGATGTCTCATGCAGTCTAGACTAACATTTGTTTAGACACAAACCATACATGCACATGGCGAAGAACCATTTCTTTATTTGTAACTTGGTTAATTTGCAATTAGGTAATACACATATAACATATTACAGATCTTTTAAAAATGTTCATCCTGCTTTTAATTAAATTGCATTTTTAATCTTAGTTTTTACTAATGCATTTTTTCAAAATTGCTGTTAAAATTCTTTCTATGCAACATGTTTTCAACAACAGGTTCATACAGCTCAAGTACAAAGTAAATACCTGATTGGTTTACAATAAATTCCCTAGGGTGTTGAGAATTCTTGACTGGTTGTGAACTACACATTTGTGAACACTTAAGGCTATTTATGTATATAGTTATAGACTGCGTTTTTTTTTTAGATAGAATTTAGCACATGAATAATTTGCTAAATTCAGCTGGATCATAATTGGTGTTTTAATAACAATAATTTTCAAACTAGTTTAGACTAAGAAAGTACCTAAAGTATCTATTCCTGTAACCCAAATTTCAGTGTCTGTATTGTATCAGAGAAGAAACTAAATATAGTTTCTTTTGCACAGTGCTGCAACTGTGAAAGAAGTGCAGAATTCAATATAGGCCATGACCCAGAAGAGCAAAGCATATAAGGACTTATGTTCCAGTAATACTCATATACTTGATTTTGATGGTATCACCACAGCTTTTTCTAATTTACCAATTCTATGTAATATGATTCTATAAAGGAGGCTGGTGTAGGAGAATAGGACTACAACCCAGAACAAGGGTGTGTACCACAAATACAGTTACCGCCTAGTACCTGTCTACTGTTTTTTTCAGCTCTGTTCCTTCAGTGTCAGCTAGTCCAGTCTCTCAGACTTTCTTAAGCCACCTGTTTTGATCCAGTGAAGTAAGTTTTTTACATTTCCAAATCTGAAAAAAAAATTTGGATGTTGCACTCGTTAAACGAAAACAGGTTTAAGACGAGGAAACTAATTGTCAATTCAGTTGAATTAAACTGGATCCTTTATTGAGTGGTCCTCAAAAGCCACAATATGAGTAAATGAACAGTTGGAATGAAAGTTGTGCCTTACAAGCTCTCTTGAGCTCTTGCAAGCTCTCAGCCAGGTTTAGATTACACAAATATTTCACAGATGGAATACCAGTGACATGTGGGATGTACCCATCAGAGATGCTTCCTCAGTTTTCATGATGCATGTAAGTGGCTGCTGCCCAAGGAATCATGAAGGTTCATGTCTGTACCCAAATCTTAAGTCTCCTACAATAAGGGAATGAATACCAAGTATTTTCAGGAGCATGATCTCCAAAACAAACCAAGTCCTTCCAGTAGGGAAAAAACTTTGCCTACAATCTTTGTAAAAATCACAGTGATTGAAACATCTTCACTGTCGGCAAACAACAAAGCAAAACCCAGATGAAATAACAGAAATATGTATTACTGGGCTTTAAATATTGTCCTACAGGAGAAAAATTAAGAAATCAACCAAAGACAGAAAAGATGATAGATATTTAATTTCCACAGTGAGATTAAACAATTTTCATCAGATACAAACATACCTACTTTACGTTAGATACACGTGAACAGCTACAATATTCAGCATGAAAACGAATGGCCAAAGTGGCAAGACTGCAAAGAGTGGGAGAACTGAGATGATCTGCCATAATCAAATAGAGGTCAGAAGAGAAAACAAACACTGATGTTTAAATAGTCTATAAAACTTTCTGGCAACAGGAGTAGGAGAAAATTTTATTTTATGTAATTATTTTTTTTTTCTCACACCCATCTACATATGTCTAATGAGAACAAAAATCTCCGGATATAAATTACAGATAATGTCTGTAATCTAATATATACTTAGTATCACATTGCGGGGAGTGAACCTCTGTGTCAGAGAGAAATAAGTTGGTTTTGGAAATTAGAAACATGATTTTGATTTTGAAACCATGAATTAGATGAACTGTTAAATAAGATTAGTTAGGAAGAATACTATAACCAAAACAAGAGAGAAAACTGAAAACAGGAGATACATTCTTTAGCTCTCTTTCTGTTTGGATATGCAGAACATTGCTTTTGAAGGATGACATTAGAACGAACTGTATGCCATCTGCATAATCATCTAGGTACAAGTGTTTTGCAAAGTCATGTCTGTGCTGCTAAAGTTGTTACCACACTTCAGAAGGGGTGACACAGGGAAACTAGGAAGGCTGTTGATGGGATTCATTAACCCAGAAGTCCTTAGGTGTTAGGAATCATTGCGTTTTCCTTCCGCCTCTTGACTTTCCAGCAAGGCCTTGGATGATGACACTTCTCCACCCTCTGCTCCTGCATCTAAACAGAGACAGAATTAAACATTTATACCACACATATTCTCACAGGTTTTTTTAATGCAACCAAGTATTTGGGTTCACTGATCATCTCTGTTCGGACTGGCTCTTTGCTACCACAGTCATGGGTGCTTTTGGAAGAGAGATTAACTCAAGAAATAAAGAACTTTGAGAGACATCTTCTAAAAGCCACTGCCTGTTGGTGTTGATTTTCCCACTCCTTGCACAGGCTGATTAATGTGCATTTGGCATTAATCTAAAAAACAGATTGGAAATAACTTTGTATCATTGTATTTTTTTATTGGGTCATTTCCAAAATAAAATTAGAATATTGCATTTCTTTGAGCACTGTCTGGTTTCACGTAGATAACATTACAGTTTATGGACATGCCAGTTATATGTCTGACCTTCTTTGACAAGAAATACCTACATGAATATATCTGTCTTCACAAGATGGGGGATTTTTGTTACTCTGAGTTGGAAGTTCACTTTTGCACAGATTAGAGTTGAATGCTTACATGACTGATATAAATAAAAGCTCCCCAGTGTCTCTGGTCATTACATGTATTATTCCATGCTGTTTCTTCTGATCAAGTTTACTCACTGAGAAGCAGAAACTCCTCTTGCCTTGATTTGCTTGCAAACCATAATAATAATTTTCACATTATCTTCAAACCCCACATGGTAGTACCAGTGGTAACAACATAACCAAATCTATAGCAGGCCATAGCTTTTGGGGACAAGGAGAGACCTGCTCAGCACATCTGGCTGTACTGTTCTCCACCTCATACTCCCCCATCTCCTCCACAGTCATTATCTAAGGGGTACATTTTCTGACTTGCTATAAAATATCAAAATCACCCAAAAGAATTATGTATCTTGGTCTCCACATCACAGCAAATATATAATGTTGCACACAATTCATCAGCTAAAGCTCTTGGCAGAAACTGCTTGATGTTTTAAGTCTGCTTAGGGATTCAGAGGCTTTGCAGTTCTATAGTGAAAAAGAACCAAGTTATTTTACATCCTCCAGCCTTATGTGGCACAGCACTGTTGTGGAAAGGGAGACAGAGTGATCTCCTCTATTGGCTGTTTCTGTGCAGGCTGGACATCTAATATTAGTGGAGTCTTTCAGACAGGCTAGACGAGAACGGTTTGTTAGAAGAAATCTAGTCTCATACTTGGTGGCACTTAGGTGTGCAATAGGTGCTAGCTAAGCTACTGTTATTGGCAGAATGGTGCCCTAACACAGGTTACCAAATGTGGAAGACCAGTACAGCTTCTTGCTCTCAAAATTCTTGCAGCCTCCTCTTCAACCTTTGGATCACTGGTGACACCAACGTGCTTCCAGACCACCTCTGGAAAGTCTCATCACTCCAAAACTTACACACCACCAGAGGATGATCAGACATGATACAGATGGTCTGCATTTCAGAATTACGCTCCAAAATAAATAACTGGTGCCAGAATCTCTCCTGGTCATCTCACAAGAACATCAGCTTCATGTGGCTTGCAGAGTACATAGACATTTGTCCATAATACAGGTACAGTCCGTGTGTATTTATAAAAAAATAGAGCAAAGTCTTTTTTCTCTTCTAAACCAGAAGGTACTAGCACATCTTGTTCCTGACTTTTCACTATGATGGTAGCTGACAGTATTTTAGAAAGAGGAAATGTATGATCCAATGAGCATTAGCTAAATTTGAAACAAAATGGAGAGAGTCCTCACCATTTCCCATAATCTTCACTGAATCTGAATTTCAGAGTAGCAACAAAATAGGGCATACTTTATATAGCCACGTTCCATCTTTCCACTTCTCTCCTTTATCTAATTTCTTTGTTCTGAGCTGCAAATTACTTTCTTTTTCTAACGACTTATTGTTAAAGTCAGAAATAGGCAAAAGAGATGCCTGTTAGAGTCCCAAATGTTTCACAAACTGTTTCCCTGTCACAGCATTTGAACTTCAAAATTGTCTTTCCATTTTGATGAATTCTCTGTTTGCTTGCTATCTCATCAAAACTTTAATTTACAACACAATGAGGCTGAAATTCCCATCTGATACTTGTGGAATTCCCATCCCCAGAAAGCACCCAAGCTGTCAGAGTGGACCTAACTGCATTTTGTATTCACTTCCTATTATCACTACTGTGAACTGCTGGTAACAGAATCTGCTGCCTTCCAACATGCTCTGGCATACCTATATGTCAGTGACAAAAGCCAAGGACAATTCAATGCTCTTAATTGTTCTTCAAATCCTGGCAGTGCTGGTCCTGTATTTCTACGAAAGCATCGGTACATTTTGCTAAAACTAACATAGCTGTGTTTCATTTTTTCTTCTTCTTAATGGATTGGATGGAGACCAGGAGAGGAGGACTATTGTGTCATCTGGAGGGCTAGATACTTTATGCCATGCTGTAACTTTTCTTTTAAAAAGACTTGCACTCTTTCCTGTTTGTTTTGTAGGGACATAATTTTCATATTTATAGGGAAAAATGTCTCCTCAAGACAAAATAATGCCTTCTTCCAGAACACGTTCAGATTCTTATTTTCCTTGCTTCTCCTGGTTCAAGTCACAATATGGTCATTTGGCCCTTCTTACTCCTCCAGGAAATGTTCTTTCTACTTGCTCAGCAGTCCTTTGATGGGCCCATGTGGGGTTTAGATTACAGAACCCCCAAACACATGACTAAAAATTAAATCACCAAAATAACAACAATGTGAGATCAAATAAATCCTTCCTTCCCAGCCTTTACGGTGCTTTAGGAGGCTGTACACCTAACATCCCGTAATTTCTTTGGGCAATGTAAAAGGAGGATATGCAACTCTGGAGACTAGGAATCCCTTTAATGATCTACTTTGGTTCAGATTCATGGACTGTTTGAACCTCAGCACAGGCTTGCCTTCCTGTTTGCTGCACTCACAGCATCATGTCAGATGTGGGACCATTTGTTGTGGTGGTACCACAACAGCAACAGTGATGGGCATGAGAAGAAAACGTTTTCTGAAAAAAATTCTGATTCAGTTTAAAAAAAGTAGGGACAGACCATGATCAGGGCGAGTCTATATTTTTTGTTTCTTAGGCATTAGAAAAAGGATTTTTCTGAATCTGAAAACTCCTCTGAAGTCATTCTGAAAGTAAAAAGAACTCACAAAGCTGGTGTTGATTAGACATGTGCTGTATCAGCAGAACAGCTTATCAAATTAAAGATCATGGCAAAATAGGGCATTGGTCTCAGATAGAAAAGTTGAAAGCCTACTAAGCAGGAGTAATATACTATAAACACTACTTTTAATGTATATGCCTGAGTTAGGATAGCTGTCATTGTATTAACAGCACAGCTGTGCTGTCTTATGCAAAGTTATCTCAGTGTAGTAGTATGCTGGAATTTATGGCTGGATTGGCTGTGTTTGCAAAGTTGCCTGGAAATCAAGGGAACTGGAATTCATTTCCCAGCACTGAACTGTTTCCCTAAACTGCTAACACTGTATCTGTGGATGGATATGGGTTAATATTAACTTGTCTCATCAGGAGGCACACGTGATAACTGCTTTGGCAGGTTCAAATTAATTCTAAATGATGAAAGGAATATTAGTATTATCAAAACTGCATGGTGGTGGAAGTCTTAGGAAAAAAACAAAGGACAACTGCATAAAAATGTCCTTTTCTGAATGCACAGCCATTACCTTCTGAAACAGAGAGCTCAGCCAGTTTGTGTGGCAACTCTGAAGTCCCAGCACCAGCAGGAGAGCCCAGGATATCTGGTAAGGCGTTTCGGCGGCCTGCCCGTCCTGATGCTGCAAAATCTGTGACCACAGGCTCCACATCAGTCATTGCTGACTCCTTTCCTCATAGCAACATCTGCACATGGAACAAACAGAAGAAAACAGCTGTAGCCTGATGGATGCTAATCACCTGCTCAATAGTACAATAGCTTTTCTCAATGGTTGTTTTCTTATTAAAAGCCATACATTTCAATACTGAGTGTTTAAGCTTTATTTCTGCCCCTGAAGAAGATAAGACTGTCTGTGTACATCCTTACCATCCTTACCGTGCCTTTTGCACATCAGAGGAGCACAAGGAACAACTTTGCACCACCAAGAAACCTGTAAATAGGGTTGGCAACAGTCCTTTCTGCCAGCCATCTGTACGTCCTTTTACGACCTATTCCCTCTTTTTTTAAGCGGTTTTGCTTTACAATCACTTGGAAGAGAACTAAAACTCTCTTGTCATACAGTCTGTGTGAAGTAAAGCATGTTTTCCTTATTATGAATCTTGTTCAGATTCTTATTTAGAATCTTGTTAGAAAAAATTAATTTCACCAAGGAGCAACCTATATAAAATGACCTCTCAAAACACTGAAACTCTTCGTAGAATTTCTTTATCCTTCACCTAACAAACCACTTGTTTTCCTCTGCTGCTCATTAGCCTGGTTTAACCTTCACTTGAGCATGTGACTTTTATATAATAAATAACTGAATCCCGGAAATAATGGAACCAACCATATTCTGCTCCTGTGATCCCTGTCTCAAAGCCAATTGTACTGAATGGGAAACATTGGACCAGAATGGGCTTTCAATCAGGCACAGAAATGAGGCATGGTCACACGGAGTCAACGGATGAAGTGTGAACACCTAGAGCAGAAGGCTACTTGGCTGCAAGTGGCACAGAGAGAGAGTGTGTGAAAACTGCCCTTAGCAGTCACAAAAGGCTATAATACAATCATTTACACAATTATGTGATAATTAACAGAGCAATTAATAATAATTAGGTATCCATTACTCAATGAAAAACAAAAGTTACTTGCTCTATATGAATGAAGTTCTGTTTGCAATGGGGGAGCAGGAGTGTTGTCTCTTTGTGTGAATAAGGTCAGTGCTTTGTGTGGGAAGGGATACAGATGGTACCGGAGATCAATCTGATGGAAGGTTGTCATCTTTTGGTTGACAACTGGCTGTATTTAGACTAAGAACTGGATATGGAAAGTGTCAGTCATGTTAGCATTGTTCTTATAAGAAGCAGAGCATCAGAGTCCCCCTTTTAAAATTCTGCTAAGCTTGGGAAATATTACTGCTTTCATTTAATGGATATAAAAAATTATACAAGTAAATATCAAATATGATTTGCCTTGATATGCAGGAAAGAAGAGGCAGAACTTTGATTACTGATGCTGACCTGCCATTTCTACTACAAACATTTTCTTTTCTCCATCAAAGTGCCTTTCAGCTGTGCCAATCCAAAACCAAGAAGAAGTAATCTTTGTATCTGTAAGTACCTTGTAATAGAAGAAATGAATCCTTCTTGGCAAGAAACAAAGGCACAAGTAGGACCGCCAAGTCTGAAAGGTGACCTGAACATGCACATAAACTTCTTCCTTTAACCAAGGGCAGTAAGTGAAAGGTCTCACCTGGAGATTTAGCAGAAGGTTCCTGTTCTGCAGGGAAACAGGTCAAATCCAAATTAAATTTTTCCATCAGTGGCAAAGTATAGAAACTATACATCGGCATTCAAGAATTACATTCTTCAGAAAACACATAAAAATGGAATCATCAAGGTTGGAAGAGACCTTTAAGATGATGCAGTCCAATGGTCAAACATGCATCGACATTCTCAGATTTAGTATTATACTATCAGAGGGTGAGATCAGCACTTGGCACAAAATATGAAAGAAGGAGAATGAATCCATGTTTATATACACAGTCTCATGGCTTTGTGGGGGTGTTCATATTTATTAAACTCTAGGTGTCCTAATTGTTTTTCCTCATATGCTCACCACAGCAAGTAAAGAGACTGTAAATTACACTTCAGAACAGAAAATGCTTGGGGTATTCTTTTGCTTAGTAAAATTGTTAAAATTACTCTCAATGCCAAAATACCAGCATGCTTGCATTTCCTGTACGTTTCATTTCAACCATTAATACGGTGGAGCTGAAAGTACTGTTGTGAGTAGACTGCTGTTCGCATAAGCTGTAAAGAATGACATTAACAGGAAAACACACATTCTCAAGCCTGCCTTGGAAGAAGGACTTTTCCCCCCCTCTTTTCTCTTTTGCGTGGATGTTTTGACCCCTAAATGGTCACTTTTAAATGGAGAAAACCTGGTCTACAACTCATGCCATATGAAGCTACTCTCCTCTGCAGTACAGTTTGCAGTGTTGTACTTGTTACAAAGCTCTCCCTTTCCTCTCCAGCACATCTCCTTCTCCTCTGATGTAATCTTCCTTCATTGCATAATACTAGACAACCCAGCAAGATAATGAAGGACAGTCTGACGTGCCTTCATGTAAGTGAATTTTGATTTATGCACTTGATTAAAAAAGTATGCAAAACTAGACAAATCTATAACATCTGTCAGACAGAAAATCAGCTGATATTATCCATCTGTCGGGTGGCTATAATTCAAATTTAGCTATCTAAAAATACACCATCCTTTATATACATAACATTTACCATTAAGGGTTTTCACCTTTGTTTTTTTCTATCTACACTGCACTAGCACAGCATGTTCTCTAAGTATATTTGAAAGATGAGGGACTACCCCAAGAGTCTTAGAATTGACATTACAAAATGTAAATCCATTTATAGGTCCATATAACCCAAAACTTAAGCTCAACTCCCAACATATGACAGACATTATTCAAAGTAGCTTGCTGCTGTACTTGAGAGAAATGCCATTTAGTTCGTTAATGTCCTAAGGGATTTCTTCAATTTCATTCTGAGGCTCTCTTTTATCAGTATTTTCTAAGGCCTACATCCAAGTAAGGATACAGAGTTTCTCTGCTCTTCATCTGTTTTTACCTTTACATTTTTTAACACATCCATTGGAAAATATCTACCTTTCAGGCATCTCCTTGCATCTGTTAAGCACAGTATTATTCATGCCTCTTCACAGAGTAAACAGCAATTACAATGTGCACAGCATCTATTTTTCTCAAATCCACTCCTCCTTCTCCTGCTGCCAACATCTCCTTCTGCTTCACTGAACCCATTTTACTCTAGCTTTATCCAAGATAAAGATACTCACATGTTGCCAACACCTGTGTGCAGTTGCTTCTCTAAGTTTCCAAATTACTGTTGTCATTTTTCTCCTGTGGCACTGCTCACCAGACTAACAGAGCATAGTTCCGAAAGTACAGTGTGAGATTTCCAAATCACAACTTCCCCAGCTCCCTTTTTGCCATAGCAAAAGCCCAGTCTACCCAAAAGTATGAGGAAACTGGGTGGAAGAGAAGAGCTGGGGAGGGATGGGGTCTGTCTGCAGAGGGTCAATAGTAGGAAGGCTTGTGCAAGTCCCAGAAGGACTCACCTACCAGTTAAGAGACTGAAGGCTATGACAGGCATAGCCAGCTAGCACTCCATCACCAGGACTAACTTTGCAGCTCATTACTGGGCCAAGACAGTGTTCAGGAGGTTTTGGGAGTATTAGATTAATCCTCTCATATATGCCTCTGAAATGCCTGCAGGATCACCCAGAATGCACAACAGACCACTCAGGTATGCATGGGGGAAAGAAATGCTCTGCTTGTGAAAACTGACCACAGCCAAAAGCAAAACTCAATGATCTATCAGATATTCAGGCAACTGTCCTTAAACAAAACAATGTCAGGTAAACTACCAGTGGCATTTTCACTAAAAGACAGCTAGTTTGTTAATCTTGGAGTTTTCTTTTGCTGGCAGCATAGCCATCCATTTGGGAGAAAATGAGTCACAGAATCTGGGCAGAATTTATTTAAATAAATGACAGGAAAAGAACAAATCATTCTCCTGAAACAATTTCTGTTGAGAATCAAGAGAAATAACGCTTCAAGGTGCTCAGTTGTAGCAGGTGGCAAAGTCCAGATTTAATGTCAGTGTTGTCTCTTCTTCTGTCTTATCTGTTAGATAAATTTAAGTATTTGTGAAAGCTATTTTTGCTTCTGATCTTGGTACTGTCTAATACAGACAGACCGCCAGATTTGTTCTGCTTGGAAGGACAAACTATTCCACAGTAAATATCAAAAAGTTCCCAACATTGGTACTGTGGGACTCCATGGCACTCCACTCCATGCAGGAGTCTGAAAGACCAACCACATCACTCCTTGCTATTCAGGCACTTTTGTCAAAAACTTATGAATAGTCTCTGCCTGTGCTGTCAGAGAAAGCTATGCTTCCCAAACACTGTTTATTCTGAATGCCATTTAGTAGAAGCAAACTGGAAACCATGAAATCCTCTCACAAAACAGATGAAAAATACAATATCCAAGTAGTACTTTCAGAGCCAGACTGACTGATTCTGTGTCTTGAGGGTCTCTTCCTGTAAGACGCATTTCAGCATCTTAATATATTCAGAAAAACATTAGTCCTTCAAGTGGTGTTTAGTTTGTCCTTATTTACTTGTAATGAGTGTTCTCCATTCACCTTTACCCCAAAAGTCTGTAGGCTCAAAACTTTTTAAGTAAGGAGAACAGAAAACTTATTGAATGAAGTGCTTCCCACTGTGCAACTGAGATGAAAACCACATCTTCTTGCTAAGCAGTTGCCATGCTTTCACATCCACTTCTGCTGCAGCTGTGTTCTCATGTCTTTGTCTCCTCTTACCAAAGGTCTCAGAATAGGAACATTCTCATCATACATACACACGTAATCCTTACGCTTTATCCTGAGGCATTTCTGGACCACAGAAAAGGGGGAAAAAAACCACCTAGGAACATCCATGCTTTTAAGGAAGATAGCCTAGAGATTATGATGATGACTAACAGTACCTGGGCACACACATAAATTTTGTGAGAAAAACTTCTCTTCTGTTTTTTTTCATATCAGGATCATTTGTTACATACTGGCAACCCTACTGCTGGGAAGCACACAGAAAGATAAGCAAGTGT